GCCCACTAAGCATTCAGCCTATGTTATCTGCACACTTGCGAATCGTTACCACCTACCGCGGCTGACACAATCCGATTCTTTCGTATAGTCTCGGTTGCTAGGTAATAAATTAGGAATCTGTGAATGGCTGACAGTTCAGTCCACTCTCGCCCCATGGCAGCCCAGGGCGAAGAGGATGGAGAAGAAGACCTGGAGGACGATGAAAATACTGACCAAGACTACGCACAGGATCGCGAGAACGATAATGAGTTTGAGGCGACCGAGAAGGATTTGTTCCAGGGTGGTCTCTACGAACCATCCGTCCGGATTCAAGTCCAGGGGAGTGTTGAAGGGAGTGAAGGGCCGGGAGGCGATGGAGTGCGCCCACGACCCGGTGCGCCCGAAGAACGGTATGAGGAGGATGGAGATCACTCTGACGCAGAAGAGGAGGGAGAATCATCGCCGGGACGACGACGACCTCCCGATTCTGCGAGCCATGTCGAGCAGGCTGCGGCCCCCGGAAATGCGCAGCGGTAGACCGACGTTGCGGAAAAGGAGAGCAGGATCCGGCGTTCAACAATCCCGCTTTGACTGATAGAGGCCGGCACGAGAAGGCCCTATTGTTTCCACTTTCTACACTTCAAGTGGTGGGTGATAATCTTCATGGCAACTATGGTAGATATCTCTGTGGCAGATGGCCTTGCTCCCTCTTTGCACGACGAGGTTGGGTTTCATATGAGCAATAACTTGGGAAATGATGGGTGGTCGTGCAGCTCTGACGAGTGGCAGATTCATCTGCACGGGCCGCGAGTCACGGAATGGAGGCCCGGCCGATACATCGAGTATCTCTTCTGCGAAACTGACGAGCAGGCAAAGTTTTTGCGTGGAAAGATGCGGCCAGACGTCGAGAAAAATGTGGGGAAGGAGGCAAAGGGGTGCATAGCTTCAATGATCAAGGCAAAGATGAACGCAATAGGATGCCTTGCCAGATGCGAGGCGAGGCTCTACGGCTTCTCCATCACACTGACCAAGGACTGGATCAAGGATGCTCGAGATTATTTCAAAGTCAAGCTGAAGGATCTGAACGACGAGCAAGTCGCGTGAGTAACATATATGTCTGCTTTCTGTTTGTGTGAATGTTGTTCTACATGGTTTACATAATTAATGCGCTATTCTATGCAGGGATGGTCGAGATCAGACCTGTGGATCAATTGGTGATTGCTATACGGGAAGCCAGTATAGGACGCTGCATCTTACTGTTCTGCGAAAAGAGCTCCTAGAGAACTGGTGGCGGACGCCTCCGTCACAAATCTCGCTTCCTCTCTGGAAGGCTCTGCAAGTCCGAGTTATGATGCACCTCGGACACCAATTTCTCGGAAGAGGGTGCAGCATTCGAAAGATTTGCCTTGGGAACCTGTTTGTCCGCATGACGCGGAGCACTTCACACCTCGACGAGTATCTTGACGTTTTCGTACTCGTCGTTGTTTCCAGGAAGTCGAAGACCAACCCCAACAACAAGCTGAGTCATCAGTTTCTTGCAAGGCATAGGGACTGGCGGCTCTGCGGAATGGGCCATGTGTTCCTGTGGCTTCATTTCATCTACGACCTTGTTCCTCTGTGCTACGGCCCTGGTATCGTCGAGCCTCTCGACTTTTCTGAACCGATCTTGTGGACTAAAGCGCACCTCTTCTTTTCTTTGAAGAAGGGCAACCACGGAAAGCAGAAGCAAGTCGAGATGCACTACAAAACGCATCACACGTGGATTAAGTGGGCCTTGACGAAGGCGAGATGGATTCTGAGCAAAGTGACACATGCATTCCGTAGGTCCGGAGCGCAACAACTTCATGACGACGGTTGCTCCGACAACGATATCGGCACTTTGGGCGGATGGGCGCAGGGGGAGTTGCGGAGGTGTTATGTGTTCGGCATTCCGTTCAAGCCGGTTTGGCTGCTCGCAGGATTCAGCGGGGATCGTGGAGACTACTACATCGGCAGAGCCCGCGCCAAGCTTCCGTGGCATAAGGATAAGGAGAAGGATGAGTGGTTGCAGCTTTTGGATCTATTGAGGCTTCACATTTTCCCCTGGGTCGAAGAGGGTTGGAAGAAGGTACGTGCTAGTGTACAGTCTTTGCGTTCGTAGCTTAATTTTGATACGCAATTATGAACCGTCGCATTTCTCCTGCATACTCGTCCCGTCAGGTCGAAGAATGAAACGCTGCGCAGTCCGATCCGCTCAAGAGGCACTATGCGGGGGCGAGGTTCCTTGAGACCCTCGCGAGCATCGGACGCCTCGTTGTTGCATAGGATCTAGCTATGATGTGGGCGTTCTGCCATCAGCACGGCGTGAGAAATCCGCGGTGCAATTGCGAGAGGCATCCATATGTGCAGATGAGCCCCTTGTGCAACCACCTGCTGTTCCAAAAGTGGGCGTACCTGGTCGCTATCTCTCACTTCCAGGGCGAGAAGCTTCGGGCAACCAGCCAAACCACCGCCAAAGTAGTGAGTGCTTGCTATTAGTGGTAGAGAGAGGTAGTTATTCGTTCATGCTGAGTTCTGCCGTGTTGGTTTCTGCAGGTAGCTATCTTTCGCACAACCGCAGAAGAGAAGATGCAGAAGATGCACCTCACCCCCAATATGCTCAGGGAGGAGCTTGGGATTTTGAGAGGACGTGAAATGCATTTGGCGATGGAGAACGCTGAACTGAGGGAGAAACTCGCCGCTGAGCGAGAGGACAAGGTTCGGGTCATTGCAGAGTTCGAAGCATACAAGAGGTCTGTTGCGGCCAGGGATGTCGCGGCAAACACCTCTGCAAAGATCGACGGATTGTCGAAGAGCGCGGGAACAGGAGCAAACCAGGCAACGGACACATCCAAAGCACCAGTTGACGTGGAAGAATTCTTCGTCGTGGTCGTTGTGTCTTGGCGCGAAGCCACCACTATTGCTGCAGCCCGGAAAGTGTGGGTGCAGCCAAGCCTCATCATGGGCGACAGGTCACTGCGCGAAGTCTTTGCAGAGTTCGACCGGTATAAGAAGAAGGACAAGAATTCCAGCTTCATCACCGCATATTCCCGGTTCGCTGACAAAGGTACGCCCAGGATGGCTGTGGGTGCATGCGAGTGAAAGATGCGTCGCGTGCATCGTGTCATGGTTTCCGTGGAGACGCTAAGAAAAGACAGCTCGGACGCGGCGACCGCAACGGCCATTAAGCTGCTAGACGAGGTTTTACTCGTGTGCAACTTCACGGAATTCACCAACGGCCTGGCGGTGCTGCATGAGACTCCGCTCATCAAGAAACAGAAGACCGGTTCGTCGACGGAAAAGAGGACCGTCAACGACTTGGTGTAATGCAGAGTGGGCTGGCTGTTAGTCAAGAAGGGCCTTCGCGACCAGGAGTGGGCAACTTCGCTGTTTGGGGATGATGAGTGGGAGGAGATCCACAAGGAACACATGGCGCAGGAGAAGGCGAAAGAGGAGAAACAACGAACCACTGCTGCCATGAAGGCGGAACGGGAAAGGGCGAAGGGCGAAGCGTCGAAACGTTAGGAGCAGAAATGAGGGGGCATGTACCTTAAGGGTGGGGCGGTTTAGTTATTTGAGTACTTTATTCCGGTTGTACTGAATACGCAGTACAGGCACTTGTATGTCTTTGTAGAAGCCCGATTTGGGGCTTGTATGCCACCTTCTTCCCTGGACGCGCTGTTTTCGTAGAATGTTTTTCTGGTCTATGCATTGAAGCACACATCGATGTTATACACCCGACAAAATTCTGTATACGTTTTGGTATGCATAGGAATACCGTATACGCCTCTTAACAAGGTGCTCCCTAAGACAAGATGTTATGCGATTGTTTAGCCCCATACTTCTACCTCCTCATAGAAGCTGAGTATTAAACTTAGATTAAGTATCGTAGAAGGCTGTCCTGCCGTCAATTATTTTATTCGGCTGGCCCTACCTTTGATGGCGAGTTCTATCGGCTGCATTGCCAACTCCATACGCGCCCTACAATTTTCGCGAGTGTAGTGAAGGTTTGCATAGCAAAAATACATCTCTCATTGTATTGTATACAACAACACCTATATTTATACACGGTGAAAAATAAAAACGGAAAGGAAAATCTACTTCTACTGCGGTGCTAACAAGACCTCCAAAGAACCAGTCTGCCTCTATCACTCCTGGCCGCCAGCGCCGGTGTTCTCCTCCGTCGACGCCTCCTTCGTCGCGTTCTTTTTCGCGGACGATTTCTTGGTTTTCTTCTCCTTATTCGCCCCTGTTGTGGTATCCCGGCCGCCCAACTTCTTCTACAGGACTCCGAGGCAGACGCCTTGGTGGTGGCGAAGGCCTCTAGATGCCATGCTGCATAGGCACCAAGAGGTCACCACCTTTGCCACCACCCTCGTCATCCGCTTCGTATCCCCGGCCGCTCGCGACTCTGCCGGAAGCGCTTTCAGCAGCGCATCCGACATGGGCAGAATCCACGCTTCCTTGTCATGCTCCTGATCCTTGACCGGCCGCATCGCCTCAACCGCAACGCAAACAACCGAGGCTGCAAGCCTCGCAAGGGCATCGAGGACGGCAGAGGACACATCGGCCGCAGAAGATGACGAGGCAGCCGACGAGGCGGTGGCAGCAGTGGACGATCTGGCAACAGAAGATGCAATGGCCGTAGAAGTTCCACGTGCAGCTGTTGTTGCGCCCGTCTCCCACTGGGTCTGGTCCACATTCGTGGATGCGGCCCACATTACAGACAACGTGGCGGCAAGTCGAACTGCGTGTTCTTCCGTCGAATAGCCATTTTCACCCTCCACGCCTCCCACCATTTTCTACCACGCAGTTATTCCGACACCAGCGCAGGCAGCTACCTGAAAGCCATCCCCCTACTACTGCCGAAGAGCCGTGTTGGTTTGAACGAGTGAGAATCTGCACAAGACACCAGTGTCGCAAGATCAGAACCATCGAACTTCGCGGGTGTGATTCCTTGTGCGCCTCTAATTCCTTGTGAGGTTTGTCCATCACATAAACACTCACCCATCCGGTTTGTCTAGATGGAGTTTGTTGATGACGCTCCACACCCCTGTTGGAAGCCACGTTGTGAATTCGAGGTCTTCCCGCCACTTGTTAATACGGTTTGGATTCATGCCGTATGCCTGCATGTCAATATCCGGGAAGTAGAACTTCCAGCAGACTGCGACCGTGTATGCCCTCTCCCACACCGTTTTGTGAGAGCCAAGGTTCCGCTTCCGGCCGCCGACGGTCTGCTCAGACGTCCACTTCTGCACAGCTCCGTCGCCCCGTTGAGAGAACCCGCTTCCCCTGAACGGCAGGCAGACACCCAAAGTCTTACCCTTGTCGTCCACTACGGCGTTTTTCTTGTTGTCACACTTGTCGATCGTCATCCCTTTCTTTTCCCCTGGGATTATCGGTATCAACTCCTGTATACCAGCTGCACGCCGTCTCTTAGCCGCATGACCCTCCGGCTCCCTGTCCTCCTGTCTTGGGCGCCTCCTGGACACCTCTACGTTATGTCCGGGAACAATAGCCACGCCCTCTGCTACATTCGCCTCCCTGCTCTCAATCAACAGCAAACTCCCCAGGCCCTCAGCTATTTCCTCCTCGACTCCCATCCAAGTCCCCTCCCCATGCATGGTCAAATCCTCCTCTTCCATCTCCCCTACCAATCGTTCCGTCTCTTCAGCCATCACCTTTGCCTTTGCCTCCAGTTGCCGCTGCTGTTCCGCGAAGGATGCAAGTCTGGCCCTCTTCTCTGCTCGGCACTGCTCCGCCTTCTGCAAGCGCTCCATCTCCTGCTGTTTCGCCCTCTCCCGACGCTCGGCCTCCCCTGCCTCCTTCTTCTGCGCCTCCATCTGCAGGCGCTCCATCTCCTGCTGTTTCGCCCGCTGCTGCCGCCCAGCCTCCTCTGCCTCCTTCTTCTGCGCCTCCTCCTTCTGCATGTGCTCCATCTCTTGCTGTTTCGCCCGCTGCTGCCGCTCGGCCTCCTTTGCCTCCTTCTTCTGCGCCTCCTCCTTCTGCAGACGGTCCAATTCCTGCTGTTTCGCCCTCTGATGCCGCTCTACCTCCTCTGCCTCCTTCCTCTCCCTCTCCTCCTTCTGCAGGTGCGCCATCTCCTGCTGTTTCTCCCTCTCCTGCCTCTCGGCCTCCTCTGCATCTTTCCGCTGCGCCTCTTCCTTTTGCAAGCGCGCCATCTCCTGCTGTTTCGCCCTCTCCACCCGCTCTCCTTCCTCTGCCTCCTTCCTCTGCGCCTCCTCATTTTGCCGGTCCTCCTTCTCCTGTTGTTTCTTCCTTTCCTCCCGATCGTCCTTCTCAGCTTCCTTCCTCTGCGCATCCTCCTTCTGTCGCCAATCTCCCTCCGTTGCCTTCCTACCCTGCTCCTCCTTTTGCCACCGCTCTGCGTCCAATCTCAGAACTACTGACAGCCGCTTTTCCACCTCACTTAGCATCCCCTCCTTCCACCCCTTCATCCCCGTCTTCATCTCCTTCATAGCCTCCATTACCTCCTTCATTCCTGCCTCCACCTCCTTCTGCCATCGCTCTTCCTCCTGATGTTTCTTCTTCCTCCGCCGCTCTGTGGCCTCTACATCCTTCCTCTTCTCCTCCTCCTTCTTCCGCCATTGCTCGTCCAGTTGTTTCTTCTTCTGTCTCTCCTCGTCATCCGCCACTTGTTTCCTCTTTGCGTCCTGCTGTTGTCGTCGCTCCGTGTCCTCTTGCCTCGCCTTCTTCTGCCGCTCGGATTCTTCTCTCAAAACCGCGCTCAACATCCCCACAATCTGGTTTACCATCCCATCCTTCATCTCCTTCATTTCTGCCTTCATCTCCTTCATCATCGCCTCCTTCATCTCCTTCATTCCCTCTCTCATCTCCTTCTACCGACGCTCTTCCTCCTGCTATCGTTCCTTCTTCCGTCTCTCTGCGGCGTCTGCTTCCTTCCTCGTGGCCTTCTGCCTCCGCTCCTCGTCCTGCAGTCTATCCCTGTTCCGCCGCTCAGAGTCTTCTCTCTGAACCTCTCTCAACCTCTCTTCCACCCCCTTTAACGTGCCCTCCGCCATCCCCCCTCCCGACTGGCGAACCTGATCACTCACCCTTATGATACTCTCCTGCAAGTTGGAGAGTCTCGTGTCCACCTGCTCGCGAAACCTGGCCGCCGTTTCAGCTTGGCGCCGCCGTTCCTCGTTTCCATGGCGGACTTCTTCCAGGTTGGCCAGGGCGTCGCGGCAGTAATGGACGGTCAGATCGGCCACGTCGCGACTGATGCTGCTGTTGCGGGCCGCCAAGTTGCAGAACGTCTGCGTCACCATTCGGGCTAAGAGCGTCAGACGACGCGTTACTTCTGCCGGGCTTATGTCCCAGCTTTCGGCCTCGACGAACCTGTCACCTTGTTCAACCAGGACTGTACTCGTCCGATGCAGCATCCGCCGTATTGCCGTCTCTGCCTCGACCCACTCTACCTGCCAAAACGCTTCTGCCACCCCGCCTTGGCCGAGATTCCTCTCCACTGTACTCTGGTGAAGGGTAGGCCGCCTCTGCCTGTTGAGATCCACTATATCCCTAGGTGCCCCATCGTCTGCCACCCTCCATGGCTCCTCTACCCCAGTTCCTGGTCCCCGCGTCGGACTTCCTCCCAAAAATATCCGCACTGCCGGATGTACTGTATCCTCCTCATTCTGCTCCTCTTATGTTTCCAGCGCATCTCCCTCGTAGTGCCCCACTCCAGCCTCCGGGACCACACGAACCTCCTCCATAGTATTTTGACGCTCTGTCTCTGCCATGCTCTGCGTCTCTCGGTATGCAAATACCTACGATGCTGCCTCCTCGTCGTGCTGCCCCTCTTCCTCTACGATGATGTGCCCCTCAGCACCCGCCGTCTCCCGTCCCTCTGTCTGTATCATTTTATTCCCATCTGAACCCTCCTCTCCATCTGGCCTCCTACGTTCGTCAGCCTCAGCCTGCTTCTGCTCCTCGGCCTTTGCCATCTTCTGTGCCTCACCCTCTGCCTTCTGCCGCGCCTCTACAACAGCCTTCTTCCGCGCTTCTGCCCGAGCCAGTTGTAGGGCCTCTTCCGCAGCCTGTTTCTGCTCCTTTGCCTCCGCCTTCTGCCGCGCCGCTGCCTCAGATTCCTTCTGCGCCTCTGCCTCAACCATCTTCGGCGCCGCACCCTCCTCCTTCTGCTACGCTGCTGCATCAGATTCCTCCTGCGCCTCTGCCTCAACCATCTTCGGCGCCGCACCCTCCTCCTTCTGCTGCGCCGCTGCATCCGATTCCTCCTGCGCCTCTGCCTCAACCATCTTCGGCGCCGCACCCTCCTCCTTCTGCTGCGCCGCTGCCTCTTATTCCTTGTGCGCCTCTGCCTCAACCACCTTCGGCACCGCACCCTCCTCCTGCTGCGCCACTGCCTCTGATTCCTTTTGTGCCTCTGCCTCAACCATCTTCGGCGCCGCACCCTCCTCCTTCTGCTGTGCCCCTGCCTCTGATTCCTTCTGCGCCTCTGCCTCAACCATCCTGGGCGCCGCACCCTCATCCTTTTGCTGCGCTGCTGCCGCTGATTCCTTGTGTGCGTCTGCCTCATCATTCTGCTGCGCCGCTACTTCATCCTTTTGGCTCGCCGTTGCCTCTGATTCCTTCTGTGCCACTGCCTCCACCACCTGCAGCTCGAGTGCCTCCGACGTTAGCTCTGCTGCTGCACCCGCTTCTTTACGCGCGACTGCCTCCGCACTCTTGACCGCCTCTGCACCCACCTTCTGCTACGCCGCAGCTTCTGCATCCTTTTGCATCCCGCCCTCTGCCGTAAGTGCCGCCTCTGCATCGACGAACCGATGGGCCGTATCCTCTGCATTCTGGTCCGCCTCTACCTCCGCCATCTTATGAGCCTTTGCACCCGCGTTGCTCTGCGCCTTCCTTTTCGCCTCTCCCGAATTCTCTGCCACGTCGACGTCCCCTCTCCGGGCCTCTTCTGCCGCCTTCCGCTTTACGCTGGGCAAGCGAACTTTCACGTATCCCCTATCCTCCTTGATATGCTGCTGCACATTACTGGCGAGCTCCTCTCCTGCCTCTCCCACGTGTGCCCTTGCAGCGGCTCGTGCCCCATGCTCCCATGCTTCACGTATGTCTCCAGTTCCCGGGAAAGAGACGGTAGGATCGGTGTCGCCATCACGGCGCCGTTGCCTCTCTTCAGCCCGTCTCCTCTTGGCTTCTGCTTCGGCCATTCGCTTGTCATCAGCCGCCTTCCTCCACTGCTCCTCTGCCTGTTCGACCTGACTTGGCAGCTGTGGATCTTCTACACCCTCCTCGCCTTCATTTGCTACACTTGCCAAGTCGGTCTCCGTCCGTGCTTCGCGTTGCGGCGGCCTCCTAATCCGATCAGCAAACCTGAGCTGCCTAACTCCAGACTTAACACGCTCGTCTGCACGGGCTGACCTTGATGTCGGGTCACTCAGTAGTGCACCCCCCGGTGCAGGTCGGCGGGAATATGAAATTTCCCCCACTCTTGGATTTGCGTCCCGGTTTGCGGCAGGTACGTCTCTCTGTCCCTCTACCGCTTCAGATTTGTTATGTGCCGCCGGCTCCATGGTATTCCCAGACCATTCCGGTGCACTCTCCACCACTCGAGCCTCATGGGTCGTCATGAATGCATCCAGGGCGGGACGGAGCTGGACTCCTTGCAGGTCGAAGAAGGCCCTGCTGGTCGACTCCAGCATACTCCGAATTTCTTTCGCGCTGTTTTTCCCCTTCCCTAAGGCGATCATCGGCTCTGCAGTTTGAATCGCCATGACATCTCCCCATTTGTCCAGCAACTTGCTGAACAGATGGGTAACGTGCAGCCCGGAACCCACTTGCCTCTGTCCCTGAACCTTGTTGATCTGCAACATGTGCGTGAAAAGGTGGTTGTCAGACACTCCCGTAACTTTCTACAAGCTTAATATCATACAACGCTTAAATCATAAAAATAGAGGCTCCTTACACTGCCTTCCTCCAGAATCAGTTCCTCTAGGCGATCCCTCAAATCTTTCTGCACCGCTTCGGCGTGGCTTCCAGAGACCCTGTGACCTCGGCTGTATTCCACATCTAGTTGTCGGATAAGCCAGCTGCAGGGCAAGGGGGTCGCAAATAATCAATAACATGCGTCCACACAAACCGCACATCTGATTAAGGAGTGACACTTACTCGAACACCTCCTTGGCATGGTCGCTGTGGCGATGGGTTGGGATTGGAGATTTAGGGTCGAAGTGTAGCACACGCATATGGTACTCTCCGCGGGGATGTGCTAACAAATCTTGGGGGTTCATCAGCACCATGAGACTGATCGCCGTCGAGTGAACAACAGGGACTCTGCGGTACATCGCAGTTTGGATTAGCAAGATAAGTCGGCGTCATCCACAGACGTTGCGGATCCATGTAAAGAAACTCACTCTGATATCATGGGTATTAAAACCATCTGGTAGTCCAACAGCGACCGATGTTCGCTGCCACAACTGGGGACACGCGGGACGGCAGACCTCAAACGCCGATGCTCGGTAGGAGCCAAAATCTTAATGTCCCTGCGAACGCGAGGATCCCCGATCTTGTCCTTGGCAACCTCCCTGCATCCAAGCCGACATGTCGCAGCGGTAAGAAGATAGCAGGTGCGTGTCTAAAAATACAAGGGTTTAACGTACCGATGAAGTCGGCGTGCGTTACAAACCGCGCTTGGATACATACACAAGGCTGAAAAGTAACAACGCCTCGTTCCACTCTTCCGTACGAGTAACTAACATTTCATAAGACTCACGCCCTAGTCGTACAGACAATCCGTAGCCATCTGTGATTAACTGGGACGACATCGCGTAAACATGCCAGAAGAAGGCAGGTAGCTATTTGGTTACTACCATACACTGTCCGCCTGCAGGATTTGAGGCCGACACTAGAATGAGAGGGAAGCTTGTGAGGAGGCTAGTTGTGGAACCAAAACTCGAATTGGAATGGCGAGAATGACCTTGAGCTTTGGTGCACCCACCCTGATAACAACTTCTGCTTCGCTGGTAAAATTGGTTGTGCTCTCGTCCTCACAGAAGGTGGGAAAGGCTTTGCTACAAACGCCAGGCGTAGTAAGACTTTTCTGCCCCCTCCATCAAAATATTAGGCTTCTCACCATTTCCCTTCGAACATCTGCGAACTACTCTTTGCATCCTTCTGCAACGATTGGCCTATTTGTCGCCAAATTGTTCTCCTCAATGTTCTACTTCAGTTGCTGGTTGGTTGATTGCCAACCTTATATGCCATGTAAGCATACTGCATGTTCTGCGGTGCATTGCATGGTCTCAACTGTCGAAATATATTGTCATGTTTTATAACTGCTTGTAGTTGTAGTTAGTGTAGTTATTTAAACTGTTGTTGGTGGTGCACCTTATTTGGTTTCTATGCTATATGTACCCTTGAAACTATAGTGAAACCATCACTTTTTCCAATTTCTCTCTCAACTCACTCGACACCTCGCCTAGGGTGAAACCCGCTCGACACCTAAGTTCGGGCCTAGGCTACTAAGCCTAGGCCCTTCCTTTCAACTTACCTATTATTCTTGACATGTTATCGGAGCTTTTTACGACCTGGCCTGTGGGCCCGCCCTACGCTTCCGCTATGATTTTTCGGTCGCGCGCCTAGGGCGCGTCACGATTTTTACTTAGTCCCGCCCACGGGTGTGTGACTCCTACTCTGCCCGTCGCGCGCCCCGTGGCACGCGACGGTGCCCTTCATCTGCCCATCGTGCGCCCCGTGGCACACGATGGTGCCCTGCTCGTCGTGCGCCCCTAGGCGCACGATCGGGCCCTTTTTCTTCTTCTACCCATCGTGCGCCCCGTGGCACTGGCACGCGACGGGCCTTTCCGCCCCTGCTCTCCCTGAAGCTGCCCCTGGCCCATCTGCACCGACACCTTTTCTCCGCTATGCGGCTTTCTTCCCGCCCACCCCCTCCTCCTTTGTCTCCCTGCAGCCTTGGGGAGGAGGGTATGGGGGTGGAGGGTGTTGGAGTGTTGGGTCACCTCTCTCCCTTCCCCTCCTCCTTCTTTTAGTCCCACCGCTGCAGCTGCCGCTAGGGGGGGAGGGTGTGAGGATGTGGGGGAGCAGGGGGAGTGGTACCGGGGTGACGGGTGTGAGGCAACATGCAGCCGTCCCTCCACCACTCCTCACTTCCCCCCCTTTCTTTGCTGCTCTGCAGCAGTGTGGGGGAGGGGAAGGAGGAGGGTGAGGAAATGGAAGGGGTACCTGCTGTTGCTTGCTATTCTTTTGAATGGCGTAACTACATATCTACCTACAAGCATTATGGGGGCGTGTCAAAATATATTGTCATGTTTTATAACTGCTTGTAGTTGTAGTTAGTGTAGTTATTTAAACTGTTGTTAGTGGTGCACCTTATTTGGTTTCTATGCTATATGTACCCTTGAACCTATAGTGAAACCATCACTTTTTCCAATTTCTCTCTCAACTCACTCGACACCTCGCCTAGGGTAAAACCCGCTTGACACCTAAGTTCGGGCCTAGGCTACTAAGCCTAGGCCCTTCCTTTCAACTTACCTATTATTCTTGACATCAACTTTGCCACGACCTAGTACAAAATGGTGGAGGGCCAGCCCCTAAAAAAAAAGAAAGGTGTCCTGTGATAGGTTCATGACAGGCTGCCACGTATAACTATCCCATCCGCAAGTTTCCCTCCGCAAAGTGGAAATAGAGAAGTCTCTGCGACCTGTCACACGTGTCAGAAACGGAATGACCGTGTACATCCCACAGTACCGCTATAGGGGTACTCGCGTAGCACGTATAGTGCTAGATGTTGTAACCCATAAAACAAACACAAGCATGAACTTTGCATGATTAGCACACCCAATTCTAAAACGGATAATCCTATAAGTGTGAGATGACTCCTCTATCAATAAGGGCTCATTAGCACCCGTATAACAATGACATTTAAATACAAAACAAATGTTGTACATTTCAACAAAGTGATCTGCTCCCGCCTGTAGAGAAGAGCATGAAAAACATATCAAACCTCTACAAAATAAGGTGAATTTCATAGGGGAGTCTGGAATACGTGTGATGAGAGATCCCTATGAAAATCAGATCATTTGCCCAAGGATAAGTGGGTGATTTGAGCTGCAACCGGATTCAAGGCAATTCTGCACAGAATTCTGCAGACTGCTGCACAACAAGGCTTACAAACCATATCAAACCTTGAGCAAATGAAGTGAATTTCATAGGGGAGTCTGAAATATGTGTGATGAGATTCCCCTATAAAAATCAGCTCATTTTCCCAAGGAAATTTGGGTGATTTCAATTTCAACCTGATTCCAGGGAATTCTGCACAGAATTCTACATACTGCTGCACAACAAGGCTTAAACACCATATCAAACCTTGAGCAAATGAGCTGAATTTCCGAGGGAAGTCCGAAATATGTGTGATAAGAGTCCCCTATAAAAATCAGCTCATTTGCCTAAGAATAAGTGGGTGATTTCAGTTGCACCCTGATTCAAGGCAATTCTGCACAGAATTCTGCAGACTACTGCACAACAAGGCTTAAAACCATATCAAACCTTGTGAAGATTAGATGAATTTTCGAGGGGAGTCTGGAATATGTGTTATGAGAGTCCTCTATAAAAATCAGCTCATTTGCTTAAGGAACAGTGGGTGATTTCAGTTGCAACCTGATTCCAGTCAATTCTGCACAGAATTCTGCTGACTGCTGCACAACAAGGCTTAAAAACCATATCAAACCTTGGGAAAATAAAATGATTTTCAGAGGGGAGTCTGGAATATATGTGATGAGAGTCCCCTATAAAACTCAGCTCATTAGCCTAATGATAAGTGGGTGATTTGAGTTGCAACCTGATTCAAGGCAATTCTGCACAGAATTCTCCAGACTGCTGTACTACAAGGCTTAAAAACCATATCAAACATTGGGCAAATCATATTAAATTCAGAGGGGGATCTGGGATATGTGTGATGAGTGTCCCCTATGAAAATCAGATCATTTTCTCAAGGCAAAGTGGTTGATTGTACAAGAAACATGGTTCCAGGCATTTCTGCACAGAATTCTGCACCCGCCTGCAGAATATAACATGAAAAGCATGGCAAACCTTGATGAAGTGAAGTGAAAACTGGACGGGGATCAGGACTAGGTGTGATGACTGTGCCCTATCAAAATGGGCTCATTTTCCCAAGGAGAAGTGGGTGATTTCACCTGACACATCACACCAGGCAACTCAGCACTAACTTCCATGCAAGAATAAGTTTGCATAGAGCTGAAAATGTTCAGGGGGGCTGGAACAGGTGTCATAACACTAACAATGCAAAAAAAATTGGTCACCACACAACACATGTGTGTGATGCCCAGAGAATGACTTTACATGTGCTATGAGCAACCTTAGTTGACCCAAAAGTGACAAAATGTAACAAATTTGACAAAATAACAAACTCATGCCCGTTGGTAAAGGACATCAAGGAGATGCTGGAAATCCATATTTGTGTGGAAATGACCAACAAATTATGGAGTTATGAGCCAAACCATATATAATGTTGACTTAGCCATTTTGACATTCTGCTTGTCAGAATTACACCAAAGTGTCAACAACAAAGTTTATATACAAATACTGTAGAACAGTGGTTGCGACGTCGCTTTCGTGCGACCGTCGATGATCCAAACCGGTGGTGTAACCACTCTTGCGCCCATTTCGTTGCGCCATCAGGTGTTTTGGATTTTGTAAGGTCCAACACCCTTTTGCGCCGAATCCGAGTCAAATCCGAGTCAAATCGTCTCGCCACGGGCAAAATGGAGTTTCGCAAAAAAAAAAAGAATCTCGGTCGAAGCAGAGGATCCGAGTCAGGCCCTCAGATTGGTTTGAG